GCAGCTCTGCCCTGCATCTCCTTGCTTCCTTGCGGGGTCCACTTTGAGGAGCTGGAAGCAATGCTTCCAGGCGCAGCACTGGGACGCTTCAGGGCGGTTTTCTGCACCATCCCTGTGCGTTTCGTGTCGGAGGCTGTGGCTCTGGTTGCTCCCAGGCAACAACCCTCCCCTTCGGACGTCCAAGTCTGTGTCACTGACTAAAGCGGTCAATTTTGGAGTTGTTGCAGTATTTTGTAATTTGACATGCTCACACTTGAAGCCTTGAAACAGGTTCTGCCAAGGGGCTTCGCCAGGTCGTACCAAAAGTGATACTTGGAGCTTGGGCCAAAGGATGGGACACAAAAGGTGAGTGCCCAAAAATGGGAGATACCTCAATCATCCCCAACTAGCTGGGTTCCCGTATTCAAAAATCGATTCAAGATGACTCGAATGATTTTTCTTGTCGTGGATTTGGGGAGCTCCTCAATCTTGGGAGACACAGGGGTTCTCTACACCCTCGACACATCACGGCTTCGCACTGCAAGGAGGGCGCACCAGACCACCCCAGCCGAGACCAATGATGCCAAATCTGATACATCCCTGAGACATGGCAAAGCAGCCAATGAATCGGAGGCACGCAATTCGGTTCGTAAAGGACGAAAAGCTCAACATCGATTTTGCCAGACCAGGCCAATACAGGACTAGTAAAACTTTGTGAATCCCAACCAAATTCATCAATAGAATTATCTACTGTAGCTGGGTTGCTGCAAAATATTCCACCCTCAGCTGATCCAAATTTGCTTCTTGGGAAGCCGGAAACCCAGCCTGCTCCTTCAGGATAGGAATACAATCAAGGACCTGCAAGGAGACAGCAACGGATGGTCTATATGGGCAAGGTTGGTGGACAAATCACCCGCAACATTGGCTACTCCAGAAGGAGAGATGTGAAAATCAAAGCTACTGTGCGCACTACATCCAATAGACGAAACGACTTTGTCAACTGCAATGTATCAAACCGCCTTCAAAAGGCAATTCTCCCGAAACTTCTCGTTGGAGATGTTCGCAAGCCACTGACGCAAGCGTCAGCGGCATAAGAACTTCAGCAGCAATGTGCATTTCTATCAGCTTTACCAAAGAGGAATCTCTGTTCCTTTCATGAAGACAAGTTCAAGTGTACTTTTCAACGCAGCAGCATGGACGAACCTTCTGAAACGCCTCATCATCATCGTCAGGCAAGCCTGGAGGCTCAGCCTTCACAGCTCTTTATGGCATGCGGCATAAGGATTGGCGAAAAAGTGTTGCGCAGGCCTCCTTTTCGAAGCAATCCGGCATCAGGGCTTCAAATCCTCTGGATGCCCAGTGGTCCACGAGGTGCCTGAAATCAGGTGATTTCAGGTGGCGACCCATGGCTGTTCTCAGCAGATCTGTAATGGCTGGTGATGGCTTGTGCACCTGCAATTGGGATCTGCAAAGCCCAGGACATCGTGGACCTTGGCGAGGCTACTGGCGATTGGCGATATGAAGGCCATAGACTTCCGGTTGGAGGCTCTACTAAAAACAATTCGCTATTCCTAGTCCAATTCCAATCAAACACTAACACAATGTCACAAAATTTCACAAAGTGATTGATTGAGTGCCAAAATATCCTAACTCACCAAAATCAGCTCAGCTGGACACCACTGCAATGCCCATCCGGCGCCCGCTCTTCAGGCGCGGAGCTGCATAATAGCCCTGCCATTTAAAGCTGAGACCCGCCGTGAGCACCGACCCTGTGGGACATTGGCAGGGATTCCATGGCAGCCGCCTGGAGCACTGGGGTGACCTCTATCACAGAACCCACACGGCTGCACATCTGAGCGCCACCTTGGGAAGCCAAAAAACAGCCACATGAGATATGGATTCAATGGATGGAAGGACTTTGCCAATGCGATGCTTGATCACGAAAGTAATTTTGCCTTAACGCAATTGCACACCAAGAAACAGAGCCGGCCGTCATGTGAGTACAATAAGCGCCATGGCAGGCTCTTGCGAAAAGTATTCAAAGCGAAGAATCCTACGCCCGGATGATCTGCCAGGATGATCTACCAATATCATCCTATATCCATCAGTTGGTCTTTGACTCTGAATCTATTACAGGATCTAGTGGAATCTAGTGACTCCAGCTAATGGATACGTGAATCAATGCAATCTGTCCGCAGTGGCGTTAAGCTCAAATAACTTCGCTAAGTCTGCCAGTGTCATTTTACGTAGTGCCAAGCAAAGGGCTTTGTCTGTTCGACTGAGCTGATAATCGCAGAACAGAAATTCCATCAAACCTTGGTCGCTCAAAGAACTATTGAAATTCAAAGTGGAGTGCCACTCATGTTGTGCAGATTTGAAGGCAGGGCAGATTCATACCGTTCGCTTGCAATGCAGTCTTTGGGACTGGCCAAGCTGCTCTGCTTTCGGTGTGCTTTTCAAGCTGCATACATAAGTCTGTGTCGCCAAGTATATGTACAGGTACAGGAATCATGAAAAGTCTCCTGAACCCAGCACGAATCCGCCCACATCACTCAATGGTGGAAGGTTTTATGAGTTGTGCCCTGATGAATGTGCTGAATCAGGCTAACCAGGCGAATGTGTTTTTGGCGTGCCAGAAATTTCTATCACAACAGTCTGAACAATGCTGTGGCACTGGTGTGGACGGATCCCACACTGCATAGCAGGGTGAAAACCATTAAACATCATTAAAGAATAGCCATCAGAGCTCTCAAAACCAATCAACTTGATCAGTTTCGTGGACTCTTTTGGCCTCGAAAATTGGGAGCTCGGAGCAAAGCTCGAAATCTATGGAAATCTCTGTATTTTTCTGTTTCAGGCTGGGCTATGCTGGGCGGGGCTCAGCTCTAATTGCACCAGCTGCCCAGGCTGCAAGTCCAGCAGTTGCACATGGCGCAGTTTTGGTCTGCTGCGCTGCAACGTGGCGAAACTCTCTACAGAGCCGTCTTCCTGGAGCTGCTCAGCCAAGAAGCCTCCGAATTGCGATGCTTCTCTGACCCCTCCAATGGAAAAAACTGGGCTTTGGAAATCTTTGGAATGTAAATTACTTGTGATGACACAGAAAATGTGATCTTTCTGCTCCACAAAACACAGTGTCCCAAAAAACTCAACTTTAAAAGCTCCAGCCTGAGGCATCCAGCTCTGCATTCCGGAGTGGAAGCAAAAACCGGGGCACGGGATCAAGGGCTTCTAATGTGTCGGCTGCTTCCTGCACTCCATTCACCAACCTGAAATGAAGGGCCCATCAATGTGAGGACGAGCAACAGGCCACTAGCAAATAGCAAAGGCACTGGATCTTGACTCTACACGAGACTTGGCATGACAGCCTTGATTCCACCAATATTCCACCTAGAGTCTGCAAATCTCACCTTCAACATACCCTGGCGACAGCAAAGCAGCGCCTGTACCCCGAGATCTGCTGCGAAGTCAAGGGTAAAATGACCGCATCCAGTGGTGGCACAGTCGAAGAACTGGGCAGCCGCTTGAACGACCTGAGGATCCAGTCGCGCATCCCCAGACTCTTTGGCTTCAAAAATAGACCATGACATGGATGATTTGCAGCTAAGGGATGCCCAATCCTGTTGGTAGCTGCGCAAAATCCGGTTGATTAATGATTAATGAAAGATAATGAAAGCATGGAAGATGAATGACGGGTGTTTTTTCATCTTCTCAGCATAAGGGTCTAACGTTCCAAGCGCAGGTCCAAGCAAGTTTCCATGAGGCTCGGTACCTTCACTTCGAAGTCTTGTGAATGTGAAACAACAGGTAGAATTATTGCCCAAGTTCCATACGAGTCCATGAAAAGCACTCTGAGGTGTGGCACGTTGCAATGTCTATCTGCCACTATCTGCAAACTACAACTACAAGTGAAAATGTTGCCAACAGGATTCGCTCTCCAGCCTATTGACAAGCCACCGGGTCGAGTGTCTGTGAAAACCTTGGAGGGTTCGGGCCATGAGTGCAAATGACTTCGAAGTGTGTGTATATACATGGGGGTTTCCTAAAATAGGGATACCCCAAAATGGATGGTTTATAATCATGGAAAATCCCCATGGAGATAGATGATTTGGGGGTACCCCCATTTCAGGAAACCCCATGTATAATTAATGATTTTGAGACGTATCCCCCATTTTCGTCTGGTGCTCCAAGACTGAGCTTTCGACGTATCCATTCTCTGGATCTTGCCACGGAGGGCCAACGACACTTCCAGGCAAGGCGGAGATGCGAAGCTTCCCTAGCATTAGCGACCTGAGATGCAGCCACCATTGCATCCGTATCTTCTACTAGTCTGAGTTGTGGTGGCTTCAAATTCTGGCTAATCCGTCAAGGTTCATGCTAAAAATAGTGAGACAGTGGCCAGCTCCAACTACTGTATCCGTTAGCTTCCTTGATCCTCACACTCCTTGCAGCAACCTTAACTGAAAGACTGTGCCGACTTTGCCAAGAAGCTCTCCCGGCTGCAGCACAGAGGGGCTAAATCCCAATTGCTCAATTGCTTTGGCAGCACTGGGGTTTGAGATGATGGGCATCCTGTCAGAGATCTGCAGTACTCATTGCACAGCTGAAACTTTGCAATCTGCATGAGATATCATGAGATGCACTTGAAGCATTCTGAGGTTAGATTTGAATGATTACATGTGCTTGCCATTTTGGAAACACCAGCGTTGCAAATGTCGCCTTCGATCTATCCTCTCCAGGGTTGGACGGTGGCAATGATCATCAAGACTCTGAGTTATCCTTGGACACATCTCCGCCATTTTTGACAAACGTTGGAAGCTTTGACCAACCCATGGGGAGCTGCCAAGGTTCACAATCGCATCAAAGCTGTCCAAGACCTCCTCCGGTCGAATGGACTGGGCGGTCTCGCGGCGCTTCCCACGGAATGCCCAGCTTTGGCCAAAGAAGACCTCAGAGCAGAACAGGCCTGACATCCTCCACGCAATGTGGCTTGCAATTTCAGAAAGGAAAGGGGTGATGCTCATAGCTCAAACCTACACGCCAAACCTCAAAGGAAATATATATATATAAATCAACTATGTTCCCTGCACTAGCAACACTCCAGAAAAAATGATGCGCAATATGTCTTCTTGATATGGATCTGCAGTGGGCAGGCTTCAGCTAGGGAGGATTCTTGCAATTTGATTCTCCCGTCCAAGCTTCCAAATTGCCAACCAGGAGGGGATCGATCAAGATTCGTTTGCCGGCAATTTCCAGAGCCAACGTATTGATGCCGAAGTGTGTGACACTTGGAGTCAAGCTAGCATCAGCAGACTCAGGTTGGCTTTCTAAGGTGGATGCGCCCGCATTAAACACAACATGTCCAGGGCACCCTTCTCCTTGGATCCAGTGTCAGATCAACATGAATTGCGAAGGAAGAGTCAACAACCAGTTGCAATACACATTTTTGGTTCTTGTGTCAGGTCACAGTTAGTCCATCATTTCGGCCTTTCAAAGCCAAGATGCGCAAACCCTCCGGTCTCTTCAGTGACGTCCCAACGAAACAGAGCCACGGACCTAGCAAAACTGCGCGGTGAGTCATTTCTGTTCGGGACGATGCTTTCAGCATGATGCAAAAGGGTCAAAAAAGCGCAGATAGTCGTTTTGCGGTCCTGCCGTCAGTCCAAAAAGGGCTGCCCATCCACGTCGTGCCATGAGCGATCTGAATCGAGGAAATTGAACAGAACACTGTCCTTGGTCCCTTGGATATCTTGGTTGGTTATGGTTGGTTGGGTTATCTGGGCTACTGCATCTGGATCTGCTACTTGTCTGCCATGTCTCAGCTTTGTAATAGCTGCAGCATGAAAGCCTCCAGACACATGGTGTGCCGCTGGTTGGTTCAACGACTCCCCTCACTCAGAACCCATCCCTTTGCACATCATTCAAGCATCCACGTTGTGATAAGTGAAAGTGGCGCAACCACATAATCAAAATAGGCTGTCTTTTTATCTCTCGCAACGAGATCTTCGCAGGCAGTGACCTATGTGAGCTATGCGACCTATGTGACCTATGCGACCTATGTGACCTATGTGACCTGCGCATTGTTGCAAGCTAGGCCCATGGCACCCATGGTATTCACAGAATTCACATCTTTCCCTGGCGGGCAGCATATTCTCCTGTGTAGTACCCAGAGTAGTACCAGGCCATCAGGAGATTCATCAACGTCTCGCTATTCAGTCCACTTAGCGCCTGAAGCATGGGGGCCACGGCCAGTGTGTTTCTCCAACCATGCTGACCGCTTAAAAAGCACCTATTTGGGGCTGTCCAAAAGTGGGGTATACCAGGTATACCTCAAAATGGCTAATATAATTCTGGAAAATCATGAACAAACACTGGATTTGGGAGGAACCTGTTTGTGGATCATGGGAACCATCAAGAGCACTGCAATCAACGTTCTCTGCAAATCTGGATGGGAGAAGCGCTGAGCCGTTCGCAGGGCTTTGGAGATTTGGGAAGCTGCCAGCACCAGCCCTGGGAATATCGAATTGAAACGGAGCAAAAGCGGAGATATCGCTGCAAAGTTCAACTCAAACGAGTGTCTTGAGTGTCGAGCAATGGCCCCAGCAAGCCACCACCCAGCAAGCTGCCTGCATCCAGGCTCCGGCCACAGTTCCCTGATGGAATTTGACCAGAACAAGTGGCTACAGGGGCTACAGCGGCTACAGTTCTTCTGTGCCTGAAATCAGTTGTTGCACTGATTGGATCTGCAGTTGTTGAAGCTGCTGCTGCTGCCTTGGTCACTAGAATGAAACACAGCTGACATCAAGACGAACCGACATGATAGATCGTCAAATCATGATAGGTATATTTATGTAGATGCACATGTATTGTGTATGTGTATTAATGTATATATATATATACATATGTATATATATATGTACATATACACATAATGATCTATGTATGTATTCAATTGTATTCATGCGTGTATAGTCATTCATTTCCATTTACATTTGTACATACCCGTCTTCTGCCACGCCATGCTTCCAAGGACCAGACTGCAGCAGTTGCAAGGCCTGCAGGGCCTGTAGTAGTGGAGCTTGAGCTGCCACGCCCTGACAGAACTGGCCCTGGAAAAATTGGGGATTTTGCATCTCTCAAATTATCTGATGGCTGGGATTTTGCCAACAAAAAGTGGTAGTATAAAACCAACCATTTTATGGAGATGTACAGTAAATGGCAAATAGAAATATATAAGTGCTCAGGTCTCATTTTTCCACACCTGCATTGCTAGTCACACATCGCCACAGCGATCCATCAGTTGTGGATGGCCGTGGGGGGGAGTGGTTCGGGAGTTCTTGAGCGGTTGGAAAGTGTCGACAGTCGTACTTGCAAGTCAAGTGCTCAGGTCTCATTTTTCCACACCTGCATTGCTAGTCACACATCGCCACAGCGATCCATCAGTACCCACTCTACCCAAACTTTCCACCGATTTCGGCCATCCACAAACGTCCCCAGGTTTTTGTAGGCAGCTGTAAATCACTGCACTGCTGCGCCCATCTCAAAACAGCTGGAAAACAAGAGGCTAAGGCTAGCACGTGCTCTCGTTGTTTTGAGCTGAGCTTCATCATATACTGGAGTGCACCAACCTCCTGTATATAAATTTCAGCCGTTTTCGCCGTTGCCCATCGGCCACGGCGACGCACCAGTTCTGCATCTTCGCAGCTATGGAGCAGCCAGGTGGCACCTCCCGCACGCAGGGATCCAGGATCACAAACTTTCGAAGTTCCAGGTAGAACAGATGGAGAACTTGCCGAAACCTAGTTCGAAAAGTCTGGCCAGACATAGGCCACAAAGCATGATCCCATGGTAGATGTCTAAACGCAAGGACAACTACCTCCAGCATGTCGGGTACATCCAATTTGGCACATTGGTGCCTCGCAACAGTGAACCTAGTTTTTGGCTCAGGTATTGAGAGTAATGCAAATCTTTGTGAATACCCAACGTCCGCAGGCAGCATCAAATCACAACGCTTTGCACCCAAAAACTCTCCAGGTCGCAGCAAGGCACCGAAAGAGAGCGCCAATCCACCAGCAAACGAAATCCACCCTCAACATAGGGAAACTGTCAGCATAGCTAGCAAAAGTTGCCAGGGCATGGCCAAGTGATGAGTAGGCTTCTCATCACGCACCCAAGCGAAAGCAAGGTCCCAAGCGCCTTGCAAGGAGCGTCTTATGGCAGGTCTGTAAGCAGAGACGGCATTGACAGTCTCTGCGTAGTGGTTGTAGGGTCTGCCCCCAAAGTACAAGCATCTACCGTACCTATTCAGAAGATCGTTAATCTGCTGCAGATGTCTCTGAGGTTCATGGAAAATAGTTAGGGGTTGAAAACCAATGGTCTCCAGCCAGTGAAAAAACTGTTGCAGCAACTTTTCTCGATTCTCTGAAGTTACAGGCAGCACAGGCCGACCCGCAGGCAAAGGCGGTCGGCCCCTTCTCCAGGTAGCTCTGCTGATATCTCCAGGGTTACGAGGCACAAATCCAGAAGTCTCCATGGCTAAAACTGAACCGTACCTACCGAGGAAAAAGCAACCTAGCCAGACTCTCGCAAAGGCTTTGTGAGGCAGGCAGGAGAAAGAGGAGGAAGGGAATGGAGAAGTGCAAAGCAAAGTCCACAGGACCCTCCCCAGGGTAGCCCAAGGTGGCATCAAAATCCATGCCAAAGTCCAACCCCGGTCGAGCAAAACCAGGCTCGGAAGAGACACTACCCTGAGAGGTGGAAATGGAATATGCAGAGACCCTGTAGGTTGATCTGTCAGGAAAGTCCAAGGCGACAGGACCTAACAGGAGCAGCACAAGACGAGCCCAACCAGAAGCCCACTTCCTCAGCCTCGGCATTTGAGAAAGTCTATATATCTCCTCATCAGACCAGCCATGAAGTCCAAGTCCACTACAAGCTTGGCGAACCGCAACATTCCTGGTAGGATCATCCGAAGCATTTAGTCTTGTAGGGACAAAAGGCAGAGACAGGTAGAGACCAACACAAAGACACAGTGCGCCCAGCTTTCTCAGAACTGCTGTCAAACGGTGGGAAGAAGACCTACCTTTCGAAGCTGAACATCTGGTCACTACGGAATCCACCATGCAAACTGCCCGTAAACTTCTCTTCCGCGAAGCCAAATGAAGCGCCAACTTGTAAACTGACTGAAGCTCAAAAAGGTTTATGTGGTCAGTCTTCCTATGGGGCCAGGATTGGACAACTTCCCACTTTGCAGTCTGCGCAACCTCATTGACAAATTGGCTCTCCAACCCATGGACTTTCAAGTCATCAAGCTGTCTAAACTTCTCTCTCAGTCTGTTCACACCACGCACCAAAACTTCTGCAAGAGCTTCTGCAAGACGAGGTGTATATATGGCAGAACCTAAGGTATACCCCCTTGTACCAAAACATGCTGGTGGCTTCCATCACAACGCACTGAAAGAGGCTCCAAGTCTGCATGCACACCCAAAAAACGAAAACTCTTCAAATGGATTGAACCAAAAGCGCAAGAGTCGGTCCTGCAAGAACTAGCACTGGGATGTCTCTCAATGCTCTTCCAGCTAGGCACATTCTTCATCTTGGACGTGTAGGGTGTCTCTAAAATGCCAGTGACTTCTTCCACCAGCCCAGCCCACATCATCTGAAAACTGCGGTGCGCAAGAGTATTTCCGTCAGCTGTCTGAGGGTCATCAACTTGAAAGCCAAAAGGAGAATCCACATCACGCAAGGCTGGTCTTCTCATGATGGAAAAGGTTGTGCAAGGGGGCTCCACCATAAAACTCTTCACCCTTTTCTCAGAAACCATGAAGAGGAGCCAGGAGGCAACATGCGTCCATGCTACATTGAACTCATCGGAGCGAGACAAGTCAATAGGGCAGCAAACTTTAAGGCCTCTTGCTGCGACAGCTGCTGTAACTCGGCCAGACCCCGCAAAAACTTCCACGAAGTCAAACTGCAGAGCTAAAGGCCTTTGTGGCGATACCAGATGCCTGTCCGCCTCCTCTGA